ACCCGGGGTCGTGGTAGGGCCGAGTTCGAGGTCGGCCTGGAGCACAGCAGCCGACCGTAGTCCGAGCCGCATGGCGCCCTCATGTCCCCTCAGGCAAAGCGCGACTTGGACGCCTGGCGCGGGGTGAAGGCGTTCGGGGTCCCGTCCCGGGTGCCCCGTTACCAGAGCCGTTTGGGCCAATGATGCAGGTGAATCTCCGGAAGGGGCCGATGACCTGGCGGCCCCGCCACGACTTGAAGTTCTCCAGGAGCAGCAGCTCTAGGTGCCCCATGGCTACGCCCTCAGCGCCTCAGCCGCCTTCTCACACGCCGGGGGCGAAAAGCGCGGGAAGGACCTCGGCAAGTATCGCGAGACCAAGGCGACCCGCGGCGAGTGTGGCGCCGTTGCTTAGCAACCGGAACTGTTGACGTTTCCGAGGAAGCTGGAGTCTCTGCACCCTCCGCGACGCCGTGGCTACCCCGACCGCAAGCTGCGGTTCAGGCTTGCGTCCCACCCGCTCAGCCTCCTAGGGAGCCAGCTTCTTCGGCTCTCTTGTTGCTGTCTTTTCCCTCTTATCTTGCATGTTCCAAAAGGCCTCCTAGAATTTGCCGTCGATTCCCAGAGCCATGGAGGTGGCGCTGCCCAAGGACCTGCAGCAGCACGCCAGCCTGGCTAAGAGGAGACACGCGGAGCTGTGCCGGCAGAAGCGGGTCTTCAACGCCCGGAACAGGATCATCGGGGTGAGGGGAGCGGGCCGGGAGGGGCGAGGAGGACAGGTGCAGGCGAGGGGGAGTGAGAGGCGTGAACTCTTAGAGCGAAACTTTCGATCCCGGCTCAGTGGCAAAGGACTCCAGGTTTTGTTGGGGAGGGGGATGAGGGAGGAATATTTCAATGTATGGACTTTGCTGAAGATGGCAGAGACCGTAACAGGCCGAATAATGCGCCCTTTCGCTTGCCAGATGGGCAAGTTAGTGGGGAGGGAACTAGCCCAGACTCGGTAGGAAACAGGCTAGACCGCGATTCTCTGACTCTGAGCCACATTGTCTACATCGCCAGGGGTTCCTTCTAGTCCATTCGTTTGAGAAACGGAGGTGAAGCTCCTGTTTTGTGGCAAGGCTGAGCCGGGTGGAGGAGATGAGGAATAAGGCAGTGCCTGACTTTGCAGAACTTATGACCCAATGGGGGAGAAGACATTAAAACGGTCGTAATAGGTCGGACTCTGTAGCTCAGCCTGTAATCCCAGCACTTTGGGAGGCCGAGGCGAGTGGATTGCCTGAGCCCGCGGGTTCAAGACCAGTCCAGGGCAACTTGGCGAGACCACGTCTCTACACTACATCAAAAATTATCCAGTCGTGGTACCGCGCGCCTGTAGTTTCAGCTACTTGGAAGGCTGAGGCGGAAGGATCTCGGGAGCCCAGCAGGTCGAGGCTGCGGTGGCCGTGAGCATGCCTGGGCGACGAAGTGAGATTCCGACTCTAAAAAAAAAAAAAAAATCATATTAAAATGCAACGGAGTCAGTGCTGTGAGGGAGGGGAGCGCTGGGGTGTACGTGAGGACAGACGTGCTAAGAGGGGAAATTAGGGGCTTCCCAGAGGAGGTGGTGCCAAAGCAATGTTCTGAGAATGAGCACCTTTTAATAAGAGAAAGGGACCTGACACACTGGCTCCCACCTGTAATCCCAGCATTTTGGGAGGCCAAGGCGAGAGGATTGCCTGAACCCAGGGGTTCGAGACCAGCCTGGGCAACTTGACAAGACCCCCATCTCTATAATAAGTCAAAAAGAAAAGAAACTGGACATGATGGTGCACGCCTGTAGTTCCAGCTACTTGGAAGACTGAGACAGAAGGATCGCCTGAACCCAGTGGGTCGAGGTTGCAGTAGCTCTGACCATACTACTACATTCCAGCCTGGGTAACAGAGTGAGACTCTGACTTAAAATAAAAATAAATAAGAAAAAGAGGAAGGAAGCTCTGAAGATAAGTTGGGAGCCAACTATAAGCAAAAGCATTCCATTGTGGAAAGACCCGATATGCACCTAAGACAATTCGTTTACAGTGGGGCAAGGATAAAAAGATACGTAGGACTGTTATCTACTCAATACAGTTATCTAGCTCTAGCCCCTCTCCCCTGTTTTTCCATTCCTAGGGAGATACAGAAGCCTGGGATGTTCAGGTTCATGACCAGAAGATAAAAGAAGCAACTGAAAAAGCTAGACATGAAAGCTTTGGTGAGCATTTCCTGAATGTTTATCTGTCTGTTTAGGGGTTAGGTGCACCTTTAGATTCCAGTCCTCATTTCTTCCAGATGTAAAAAGTTATTTTTACACTCTGCTTCCTTTTAAATTTCTCAGTTTCTATGCTCAAATAACTTAATATGCTGATTCTTCTTCTTCTTTCTTCTTTCTCCTTCTTTCTTCTTCTTCTCTCTCTCGCTCTATCAGGTCTCACTTTGTTGCACAGGCTGGGTTTCGAATTCCTGGGCTCAAGTTATTCCCCTGACTCAGCCTCTTAGTTGAGATTTCAGGCATAAGCCACCATGCCTGGTTTCTTCTCTGAAAAGAAAAACAGCTTTTGAATTCTAATGTAGATTGTAGGAAATATATTTTACAGATAAATGTATGTTTTTGTAAAATCCTGGATAGGAAAAGCCTTACACACACACACACACACACACACACACACACACACACACACACACACACACA